GTGGTGAGCAAGGTTTTAACTCCTACACCACGTTCTAGTTTATCAGTTCTAACCTTGTGGCCGTTAGTCCCCAACTACCACTGCCCCTTATTCAGGCGTACAGTAGAAGAGACGGAAATGTCAGAAGGATGTGGAGACTTTGAAATCGACGCCCCCTTGTTGTACCATAAGCGGCCGGTCCCCTTCTATCACTCCAACAACGTTATCTGCAACATAGAATTAATCGTAGAATGTGCCTTGGTGGCAATGACAGCTTGCCTCCGACAAGAAGCAAAGAGGGAACGATTGGAATTCAACGCAGGGCATATCGACCCGATGAAAAATTTGCACGAATAAATAAGAACTCCCCTTGCCCGCAAAAAGAAAGAGACTTAGCGTGACCTTCCTTTCTTCAAAACTACAAAATTCACGCAACTGGTGCTCAAAAAAGTCGTTGCAGTGCAAAATAGAAGCGTGTCAGAGTTTCCAGAGAGACGAAATGTTTTTTTCATCTCCAGAGCAACGTTCCAGACACACTCACGCGTATTCGCATACACTGTACGCTCACCTTTGAGGATCCTGATCTTGCGATGTGTGGAAGAAGTGGACGGACCCACAGTTGTGGAATTCTGCCTCTTTCGTCACTCGAAAAAGCGCAGAGACGGGGGAAGGACATGCCCAAATGCGTTTCGGACCCCCAAGTACGGTCAAATAACACATAGACGGAGCTGTGAGCCGCACGACAAAGTAGACGCTTAACTATAGCCAGGCGCACACTTGTCTGCGCCCTCTCCCTTCTACGACTGCATCGATGCTCGCGTTTGTCACATATCCGGTGTCTCTATAATTTAACGGTGCTCCTCCGGACTCCTTACTGGTTGACTCCTCACATCCCACGCTCGAATATGAACCTCCTCGCTAGAGTACTCTGATTTGAAAATGACGTCTCTGCTCTGTTGCAGCGGCTGTCATTAGTGGCAGGCTTCATTCAAGGAAGACGGCAGAACAAACTTGGCTTCATAGGGTTTTACCAGGTTTCAGTGGAGTCCCATTTGGAAGTTGAACTTCGTTCAATGCAAAAAAGGTACAAATGCAATCTTACTTTCGTGATCTTCCTATTCAGCAGTGAAGAGGAGCAGCCATGGCAGCCCTCTCCTGCGCCTCGCGATTTAGAACTGGTACGAATCCCATATACAAGGTCATTTTTTCAGAAATTAATGTGGTTATGCGGCACTTATCGAATTTCACCATTCTCCGAGTACTACAATCTAGCAACTGGTCTCGCCTGGATGAATTCAGCTCTTACTATGTCATTTGAGAATGTTAATATCTTTTATTATTATGAGTTTGCTGAAGCAATCAGTCACAGTCTACTACTCGTCAAGTGTGAACAAAAGTCCTGCCCTTGCCAACCTTCACAGGAATTTACGGCTCTCCACAGAGGGTATCGGCAGTGAGGCAGAATGCGTCACTGAGACTAGTCAGTGAGCCAGTGTTGGCGGAATAGTGACACAAGGAATCAGAGGACAAAAGGGGGGGGGTCAAATGCGACACTGTTGAGCTCGAGGACGCGCTGCCACATTCCAGTTCTGGCTGCTCCTTACCCCGTACTTCTATGTCCCTCTGGTCCCTCCCAGTTCGTCTCCACGAATCGGAACAACGAACATCAATTTTTGCACTTACATGTGTACGAAGATACTTAATCTTTCTCATTCAGTGAAAAAATAAAACCTCGGCACTAACCTGGAAAACGTCCCCCTTCTGTGCTTCATGCTTGGACTTCTGCCCATAACTCAGCATTCTTGAGCTACCAACTACTGCGTCAAAAGACATTCGTCATAGTAAAACAACTTCAGAGCTCCGTTCATAACCGTTTTCTGAGTAGATTATCAGATCAGGGCATTAAGGAAACGGCCTCGGTGCGTAGGGATTCTATCACTGGCGGCCTTTCAGACCTGGGGGCCAATCCTATTTAGTAGGCTCATTACTTCCGTTCAGTGGAAAAAAAATCAGTGATGGCAGAATTCAAGCAATGCTCTGCTGAATCTAATTCACTTCAGGACATTGGACATTTATTTTTCGAATTGCTACAAGCCGTCGCCATACCGCCAAACATATTCGTTGCTCATCGCTACCTTAATAGCATCTGGCAGTTCTGGCTTTCACGCTAGTGTAAGTGAGGACGTATACAGTGGTATTCCAGCTCTATTAATTGCTTTCAATGCTGCTTTGTTGCTATAAACGTGCAACAGAGATAAAGCCTTGTGCATAAGAACACAACTAAAATCATCTTCTTCTATCGTCCTGGAGCCGTTAGATAGGCGAGAGCAAGATCTGGCGTAAATTTTTATTTGAAGTTTCCAGAGAACTTTCCAGAAAGTTTGCAGTAATTTCTGTTACAAAAATCATCAACAAAGAGGCCTCGAGCAGTGCATTAAACATCGAAGAGACGTCCAACAGTACCGTCTCAAAGGGAAACTGTCACTCTCTCCGTAGTCGGTCGTTCCCACATGGGAGAGAAACGGTGTGAACGGCCCTTACCTTCTTTGCGTAGAACCTCCAACTCGGCAAGGTGAATGGGCCCATAGTGCAGCAGGTGCCATCACTCTCGTGAAAAAACCTCGGTCTTTATATACTATCAACAAACTTTTTTTATAGCAGCGTGAGGGGGCATCACAACGCTCGAATCAAGCCTCTGACCACCAAGCTTTCAGCATGAAATCGGAAATGTGTCAACACCCTACTTGATATCACGTTTAAAAACTCAGCCTGGTTGATGAAGAGGTCAACAGGTGCCGGTTCGTTTATCCAACTGGTTACCTTGGGCCTGGGTCTTACGCCTGGGGTTCGTATTTAGATCAAAGAGGCATCTACTTTGGCCCGCCCCGGAATAACCACGGTTAGTTGCGTTGCCCAGGCTGACCTTTCATCGAATGCTATTGCTCTCAAACCAGTGTAAAGAGCAAATAAGCGTAAGAGGGCGCAGACAAGAAGCGCGCTCGACTATAGTTACACGTAGGCCTGGTAATGCGGCGTGTTGTGTACGCTGGTTCGCCGGCGGGTGGTGTCCAGAACTGCTCATGATCACTGCCCTCCAACTTTGAGTAGCATGCTTTTGTAACCGCGGATCTCAAAGGTGACCGTATAGTTTGCATCCCAATGAAAACTGACGATGTGATCACGTGGTCCTTTCGCGAGCAAAGCGAGCAGCGAGGAGAAGAGAGCCTATTCCCTATGATGGTTCGTAGCTAGGGAAGTTGGAAGTCATTCCGAGTTGTGAAATTCTACCCATCGGCAGATTGGAAAAACCAAGTCAAACACAAAAAAGATCAGCGAGTGGAATCTCAGTACTGCAAATATCACATTTGCAGGCTGTACCTAACCTTGGTCCAATCGAATACATCATCAGTACTCCGTCTAGCCACCGAGTCCATCATGGCAGAAATCCATACTGCATCGACAGGAACTATGGAGCAGTCTTCAGTGTGTGGGACAGGTGGAGTTGTTTCTTTTGATCTTGCACACCCAGTATTTGGTCTCTATGAACTTCTTGCACAGACTGAAGAAGGGTGAGAATAAATGGATCCTCAGAAAGGATAAACTATTCAGAAGAGGGGATTTCCCAAGAAGTTTCAGAGTGAACAGACTGAAGGGCTGTGCAGGCACTTGACTTCCACGACTCAATTTTTACAGTTTCCTTCTAACGGAATTGGCGAATTCGTTTCACTGCTCTTCCCCTGTTGTCTTTGATGGATTTGAAAGTTGCGCGACTGTCGTACCTGAGTGGAAGCGCGTGGCCAACAAAGGAAGAAATATTGTAATTTCAGGCTTTTTGGCACCTATGAACCAGAACGAAAGAACGAAGAGATCGCTTACGGGTTGGTCAAACCGGTAGCGTCATTCGACGAGATGTGGTGCCAGGCAAGCATTCAAATGATTAATTTCTCACAGGTGGAAACTCTGAGGAAACACATTTTCAGCTATTCGCACTTAAGACTTCGTCTACGACAAATGTCAGATGAGAAACGAGAAGAATGAAGAGCTGTTTCCAGGTGTATGGAACAAAGTGAGACTTCTGGTTCTGAATTCCATTTGAGTGAAATCCATTCATACAGTTCCTTCGGAAGCCTGAGTTTTAGGTGAAAGCCGCTTTATATCCGCCAGCCTACTTTCCTGGAATGCGAACAAAGTGGTTCTTCCTGTGGCTATCTATGGAGGATCACACTGCGGGAGCCCCTGAGGTGAATCCCCTCATACTGGCACCTAACTAAGCTCAAAAAAGCAGAACTAATGTTATCAATTCCACAACTAGTGAAATGATACGCGCACCTGCTATTCGGCGTTGAAGTCAAACTATGCACTCGCCTTCAAAGACGTCCCTTTCCACATTTTCTGCCCGAAAATGAAAACGCAACACGGGAACGGGGCTGAAAGGAAGTGATACATGTTGCTGTCTCCATACTTCGCCCCTGCTATCTTCATTGTGCGGCACTTGCTTCGATACCAGAAGACCGCAGAAAAATACTCAACTAGCGGCAGTGAGCAACTATGACTGAGAGAGCGCAGACAACTGACGTGTTTGACTATGGTTAGGCGTGTCGCTGGCCATTCGGCGACGCGAACGGAGTATACAGACGACGCTCTTGCTCCCTATGATCCAACTACTCATGTATTAGGTCGCGTATGAATAAATTGCGTTTCTTGCACATCATTCTTTACCTTCTGTCTTACCTGCTCTTTATTGTGTATTACTTTTCTAAGGTTTATATTGTTGTGCATCATTTTGAAGCTTATCTAACAGTTCTTCGCTTATCTGACAGTTCTTCGTTTTTTTCACTTCCGTTTGTTTCAAATTCCTCTTCGAGAATTTCAGACCGAATGTCTAAGATGCTCTCTGAGGATGCTCCGAATATATAAGGTGCTCTCTGCTCTTGTTCAACCACTGCGCAGAACGTCTTCAATTACTGTACAGAATCCATTTCTCATCGTCACAATTCGATCGAGGGGAAGCTCGTTCTTGTTACGCAGAAGCAGCGCCGATAAGATCTGATAACGCTTGAAGAACGTTTGACCTCTGTTCAACGTTCAATATGAGGTGCACATTGATCCATCTTCACCTTTCCAGGTTTTTCCAAATGCTTGGCGACAGTCGACACTTGAAGTTCTTCCGCTAACTCACGAATAGTTTTTCGTGGATCGGACTCCACCGGTGACTTGAGGCAGTCATCATCAACTTCGAACTGGCTCATCCTGGAGGTCTGTGTCTCCGGATCGGAATTTTCGAAGTCAGATGGGTACTGTGAAGTGAATGGACATCTGGTCCCCACGTTTTCACATCATTTTCATGAGCACATCTTTTCGTCCAAGTTTGAACACATAAAGCAAAATCATACGAATCTGCCCTTTAGACAGCATCTTAGATATGGTCTGAAATTCCCGGAGAGTGAAATTTGAAACAAGCGAAAGCCAAAAATGAAAGACCGTTGAATAAGCTTCAAAATGATGCACACCAAGATGAAAAATTCAATGAACAAAACACCAAAAACAGTAAGATAAAAACTGATGTGCAAAAAAAACAATTTATTTGAACACGACCTATTATTTTTAAGGGGATAAAGTGACACGTTACTGCAGCTGCGCACCCATCCACCTCCCACATGGCAAGGGCCCGACGCAGGAGATGTGCACAGTTTGTCTTCAAATGTCGTCAAGGAGCTAAGTCAATCTCAACTGGTGAAATGGATTATCACAAAAGAAGTTAACACCTTGAAACTCTTCGTTTCTCATTAGCCTTACTGATAAGTGCAAAGGGAGGATAAAAGTAACCATGTGCTGAATGGAAGCTAAGCTATCTCTTCGAACTCACCCCCTTTGAAATTGTATTTGATTCCACTAATCTATCCTCATAAGTTGAATGTCCATCAAATCAAAACAACCTTCAACGGGTTTCCAAAAATTCTACAAGGAAGGACAAGGCCAGCTTGCTTTTCAGGTTGAACGCCCTCCGAAAGTCCGCTACAATCCCCCACTAGCAAGCAGTCTTCGCTATTATTTGTTTGCACAATGGGCGCTTCTTATTTCGTGTTTTCTACAATTCGACAAGTTTCGCTTATTTCTCAGTTGGCCAGAGTTCATTTGTCGAGTTGGCTTCATATTCGCCTTCATACAGATGTTTGGATACTATTTCAATCACAGGTTTGCCACCTTTTTACAGCATCTTGACAAGACCATAAGACATCACATGAGAGAGGAATTTCAGCCGCTTCTCACTGATCTTTGACTCGATACGACTGGCGCTCTCTATATTGCTGGGACTAGTGCTGGGTGACTCCTCGCTGACCATCTATGGTTTTCTATCACTAACGATCATCTCTTGGCTCTCATCGGCAAGCAAAACCTGCGTGTCATGCGGCGATACGGGGAAAAAGTGTCCA